ATGGTGAAACTCTGGAAGACGTGAAATCCTTCACATACCTGGGAAGCATCGTCGACAAACAAGGTGGTTCAGATGCAGACGTCAAGGCGAGGATTGGCAAAGCTAGAGCGGCATTCCTTCAATTAAAGAACATATGGAACTCAAAACAACTTTCAACCAACATCGAAGTCAGAATCTTCAATACCAACGTCAAGATAGTTCTACTGTACGGAGCTGAAACTTGGAGAACTACAACAACCACCATCAAGAGGGTATGGGTATTTATCAATGGCTGTCTACACATGATACTCAACAACCATTCGCCGGATACCATCAGCAACAGCCTTTTGTGGGAGAGAACCAACCAGCTTCCAGCGGAAGAGGAAATTAGGAAAAGACGATGGAAATGGATAGGACATACATTGAGGAAATCATCAAACTGCATTACGAGACAAGCGCTAACTTGGAATCCTGAAGGGAAGCGGAAAAGAGGAAGGCCAAAGAACACACTACGTCTGGAAATAGAAGCGGATATGAAAGGGATGAATAAGAACTGGAAATGATTGCCCAGGACAGGGTTGAATGGAGAGTGCTGGTGAGCGGCCAATGCTCCTTCACCAGGAGTAACAAGCGTAAGTAAGTTACGTATCTGTTGAATTCGCGCGTTGGTGTCTGGACTACTGCAAGTAATTGTGCACGTGTGTCGTTCACACCGTGCTCGTAGAAGTCGGCTTCTGCGCAGCAAAATCAGGCTTCGATGTTGTCTGGACAGAAGGGCATTAGTTGGAACGAAGATGGGGACATACTCTTTAACTTAAATACCTTATGTATCTGTTCAGGCATAGTAAAATATCAAGTACGAAAATGAACGAGTGGGAAATATATATAACCAGAAACACAGGGTGAAAATATCACAATGTATAAAAAATCTAACAAGGAACAGACTCACAGTTTGCAATTCAGTGTACCAGATAACTTTAGGCTCACCAATGAAAATGTCACAGGTATTTCGATTTTGACAGCGCTTTAACCAGTAACACTTTCTATAATCAAGCGCACTCACCAAGTGAAATCAAAAGACAGAAGCGAGGAGGTCTGAAGATATATTTGATTGGCTATCAATATATCAAGGATCGTCTGATCTAATCTGCCTAGAAATTACAGTAGATGTTGAGCACGGCGTTCCCACATGTGATCAGGTGCGGATGCATGACCGAGCGCCTTCAGCTAGATGAGTTCTTCAAAACTAATGGGTGTCAACATCCAATGTCGAAAACTTACAGAGCTACCAATTTTGGGGATTTATTTACCGCTACAAGTTCGAAAGCTGTTCTCGAAGCTTTTAAAAATGCTAACTGGGAAACGATAAAGAATCTGCTGATTACACTGTACTTTGAAAACAAACTTTCCAGATGGATCTTAAGCAGAACAGAAAATCATTAGTTACATAGGTGAACTACAAGGATTCACGTTTTCGATATTCTTACATCAACAAGGTGGTGCACATTATGGGAGCCTGTTATATTTCTCTCTCTTACGGTTATAACCCAGCTATTCCTATTGCTTAGTATCCATGGACACAGATTCACTCGACAAGGCCCCAAATCAGAACACGGTTGAGCAGGAAAGAGATTATATTCGAAATAACAAGGTTAGATGGACGCAAGAAGCACAAAAGGAAAACCGCTAGTATATTTATAGTTTTTACATAAGAAGAATCTCGAGTCTTCTCCATGTATCGACTAGCGCTGATTGGATAAGTATCAGCCAATCAGCGTGCGCCAAAGCAATCGTGCATTGGGCATGCTTAAATCCAATCTATGTACCACAAATAGAGCCATTAAGAGATCTTTATGTTTTTCATGTCTGCTGAATGTAAGTTAAGAAAGTAAACCAGCATTTTGACAGAATACTGATATATATACGAGTCAGTGGTGCGCTTCAGCATTGAAAAAGTGCATCACCTTAATCACTTGAAGAGTGTATAACAAAAACATTTTATTTCTGATTGTTCTCCATTAAAACTCTTACGCTTTAAGATAATATGGAGAGTTTATTTAATGCCAGTCTTCATCAAACATGTGCAATTTACTTTTTGAGGTCGGCTTTTACATTAGAGAAACGTCCGACAACATTGTTAGTAAAATTCAATCTATTAAACACAATACATAGCTATTAACACGTGTTTCCTATCATTCATCTGTTATATGAATCAAGATTTCAATAGCCTGCGGACTACAATTCCTACTATCATTAGATAGGGTGTCCTAACGAGAAATTAATAAAATATCACTTCAAAAATAAACTCGATAATACTACTACAAACATTTCTTTGAGAACCAAACACACTCGGAATGTTAGAACTAACAGTTAAGGCCAATATACAAAACTATTCCAATACACCTAGATGTGTTTAAAACTGTGGAAATAATTAAGAGAGATCTCTTTAAATGAAATAAATGATGTTATAATCAGGACTTGGCGTTCACTAGATAGTGACTCAATGTATTCGAAAATAAGTCAACATAGTTGTTTCCCATGTTTAGATGAAGCTAATTAACCGGGGCACCAAGAATAGTCAACTAATCTCGAGTCATATTGCTATTGAGGGTGCCACATTTCACATGACTCAGTGGTCTCATGAATTAGAATCCTGTATCAGTGGGTATCCTTTGTGTATATCTGTAATTCCTGTTAATACTAATCACACATGTATATGTATTCTAGGATTTAGAGCCTAACAATGAGCGGGGATCTTTTAGATCCATCTTTCATACGGACGAAGACTCATTTGGGATATCCAGGACTTATTATTTCCATTGCCAATACGACGTTCACAACCTATGAACACCAGCATTTCAGAAACCGAGGATACTGTAATCAGATTTCTGTACCCCATTACATATTTGAAAGCTAAGACTGACAAGATCATATTACTTCAACTAAGTGAAATCATTATTAACCAATAGTAGTGGCGCATACGACACATATCGTTAGACATTAACGTACGTTACAGACCAACCTTTGTATGAATCACCACCCATTTATTTAAATTAAAAAGCTGTTGATTTCTAGTAAAACAAACTGTTACCAGTCGACATATATCACAAATTCATTGTGGAGGCTCTTCACTTTCAGGCAAAACATAAGACGAAGGTTCATTCGGAGTACTCACCAGGCTATTTTATACGCTTTATTCATGGTTCGAATAGTCATGAACTAACAATAACTAGTACTATATAACTAACTAAATAACCCCTACTAAAAGGTGGAGGCTACGAAATCCTGTACAGTTTATCATGTACTGGAACACACATCTAAGTAAGCTCACAGTGTACTTATGCATAAACCTGATGTGGATGAGTTACGATAATAAATGAATACATCTGAATATAGCAACTCAAGTTTTAGGCTACGAAGAAGCTGCATTAACTACTGAAACGGGTAGTTCACGATTCACACCATTCATTAGCAGATGCTTAAATACACAAATAATACGTAATGTTAAACCTTCCTTCGCAATACAGATGTTTATGCGAGTTACGTTAGCAGAGATCCTGATATGTAAATCGATATCTTAAGGCTTTACTCAAACTCGTAACGATTAAAATGCCATCTAATAAGTTGGGAACAAACAGCATAAATGATAAATCTATATTTAAAACCTTGTGGCATCACTTGTGATAATAAACTAGAATACTAAGAACAAAAGATTGTAAGGAAGTTGCACGTAGAAACCCAGTACAATAATTGTCACTTCACCTTAGACCCTAAAAAGACCACATCGTTTCACAAATCTCGACCAGTCATACACACACTTTAGCAAATAAAGAGCAGACATAACCATTTGTAGTGTGATAATTTTGAAATAATATCGAGAGACCCCAATCATTTATTGGGATGTGTTGTGTGTATAGGCAATGATACTAAATGCGATAAGTTTCCAACACAAAATCACATGTTCGTTAAATTTTTATCTCAATCATCTGAATTTTTAAGAAGAGGTTTATCAATTGATTCAGTTCAGTACAATATTTAAAAGGACAGGAATGTTCCTCAGAATTAGCATCTGAAAGTTTTTAAGCAATGTACGTAGCTTAATTATGTACATCTAAAATTTGAAGACAATAGAGGCCCAGTCATATTCCGTTCAACGTGTGCATAAGCCCCCAAATGCCCTGGTACGGTCGAAAGTGGGGAGAGTCCTCTCTCCCTCTCGAAATGCTCCCACATGGCCACGCGTATATAACCTCTGCCAGGGAAGTCCTACTCACTGCCTTCTCGTGGCATTACTGTTGTTTACGAAAATGAGAGGACGAAAAGCGAACGTCTGGCGCTTTAACCGGATCCCAAACCACTGGCGCACATGGGCTCCAGTATCCTGAGGGAACAAATGGCGTATGAACAAATCGTTGGTCACCGGCTACCATGGGACTGCATCTCCTCACGATGCTCCACTGCCTTGTGGATCAGACCTTTAAGTCAAAAGCTCCGGGTGTGGTCCCCTAAGAAAACCATCTGCTTCGGTTTGGGCACCCAGGCAGTATCACAGCCCTCACACAAATGAAATGAGATTTGTGTGGCGCATATGTATTTGTTGCCTCCTTGTACAAATGCATAAGCAACAAGAAAAACTGATGTTTTTTTATTTTATGACCATATACGTGTTATTTTTATCACTTTTAGACCTTATGTATTGCTGCTGATTCACAAACAACCTTTTATTGAAGACGTGCTATGATGCCATACCACTTGCAAATTGATTTTTTTGTAAGGAAAGCTAGTCCGGCAATGTAATGTATAGTTATTATCAAGCTTCCAGGAAAACAAAAAATCACGCATGTGATCGTGTAGTAGCTGAAAATTTGAGATTGCCCCACGAATGAATTATCGAACCAATAAGTCATCGCTTACATGCTGCAAAACTAAGTATAAAGGTCAGTCACTAAAGCAACCATCAAGACAAATACGCAAACACATTGTAAGAAAAGTCACTTAATTGTACAAATGAATAATTTAAATTGAGACATATGAATCCAAATATAATTATTTAATACTAGGTAAATAGCTAGAAGTGATTTGTTTTTCCACTTTAAAAATTAAATTACGTTATTGTAACTCTGTAGGTATACTTTAGTATCTTCAATATTGAAGATCTTAATCAACGGAAAGAATTTCACAACTGCAAGTTATACTTAACTAAGTATAAAGTTTTCACAATGACTGAGCATGCACCTCCGCTATCACACACACGAAAAAAACAAAGTTTATGATAAATCCTTCAATAATTATGCATTGAAACCATTCAAATCACAACAAACGAATAGCGTCTATGCTCTGGTTCTTGTACAAAACATAGTGAAATAAGAAGATTCAGAAAGGCAAAGTGAAAACACTTTAAACATATATTTTGTCATTGAAAATGATTCAGAAATCTTAATAAAAGTAGGGCAATATACGCTTACGATTCATTGAGAAGTCCAACAGGTGTTATTTATCACATGTGATTTTTAATATAAAACATCAAGTCACATTTTTGTCACAAAGACGTGAAAAGATGAATGCTAAAACGTTGACTACTTACTTGGCTCAAGAAACTATACATACGTGAATAATTTCCTTTATCTTGTAGAGATATATACAGATTACAAGAAATTACTTAAGATAGGTTTATGAAGCATATTAGTTTTAAATGACTTCTAGATAATTAAGAAAAGAAATTGGAGATATTTAATTATTTAGTCACTAAGAAACAAAGATTATTTGCCATTCTTTAGGTTATGGTATTGGTGTATGCTGTATGAACTAACGGCTGATTAGCCGAGAATTTAAATGATTACGTATTGTGATAGAACAGGGGAAAAATAATTTCACAGCTAGTTATGACAAGATGCACAACACACAACAATATTATATTATGTAGCCAATATTTCTGATAGACGATCACAATTTGGCATATGAAGCTGCATAGCTCTATCGTAACTAGCATCATCACCATAATATCTAGCACGGAATAAGAGATTCTCCTCTGGAAAAGATAGAGAACAAAAATAATTAAAGGTAAACACCAGAAGATTCAAAGTGACTGGAAGTTGAGGTAAATTTGATCAAAGAGGTGTAAAATTACCCGAAAGATTTTCTGGATATTACCATAAACCCTGAGTATCTCATCATGTAATGGAAATAAGTAACTGTGACATGGAACGAGTAAAGGTTGATGGTCTGAGAGACGTGATATTTTATAGCCAAGAATATTTGATGGTTCCTACTTTTGAGTATGTCTCAGTGGTTGTATTATTGACAACGACATTCTGGAAATCTCAACTTAGTCAATGCTGGTATATTGATATGGGTGTACAATGGAAAGACTTGCAATAGTGAGCAAATTAGAGATTTCCAGTATAACAAGAGAAATCAGATAAATATAATTAGTCAGTCAACGTGAGTCTACAAGGATGAAATATAAGGGAAATGAAATATATAATGCAAAAACTACTTAATTCTGTGAGAGCACTTAAATCATCCTGTGAACCTATAGATACAGATGAGTTGCAACGATTATCGTTCAGCAACACAACCTCCAAAGCGTCCTATTACTTGGGATATCCGTAGGTTACTAGTACTTGGTCTTAGATATTTTGGAAGTACTACTACTGGTGTAACAACTGAGTGAACGCTGATGAGGGTGGACGTAAGATACTGAGAAAAGATGACAAATCAATTGATCGGACGGGGAATCTTCGTTGGGTGAGGTTATAAGTACACAAGTTACATGTGCCTAGTCACTAGTTAGTTTGACGTGACGGCTGGTATGGATAGGGTGGGAGAAAGCCAAATGAGGCCAAACAAATACGCAGGATCAGTTCACGAAGTCGCTAGTTAGTAGACTGATCCACAGTATAGGTTTAAATTAAATGGTTGAGTTCTGAGCGACAAATATGATCGGTTGTTGCAGATATTCGACAACACTGTTTAGATGCATTCACTTTTTCTTTGAGACTCCTATGTCGAATTAATTTTATACATTTTATGTCCCCAATTTTCGAATCATAATGACTGAATGTTTTGAGGTATTAAGTATTAGGGGCTATATGTAGGTTTGTGACGAATATAGGTAGATAGACGCCTCACAAAATGCGCTTTCTTCGTGTGATGTGTACGACGTAACTTTTGTAAAAAAATAAAGTATTTAATGCACACCTCTATCTTGCTATCAAATATAAAACCAGGTGGTTGCGAAGATTGATTAGTAAGCGATATTTTCCGAGGTGATATCATCTTAATCATTCACAATCTTAACTCAATGTGCACAACTAACAGTACTTCGTCCAGATCACCCAACATGACCTTAACGTAAGATTCACTGTTTCCGAGCTTTGGTAGAGCATTAGACGATTTCAGACCGTGAAATTCATGAGACTACTAGACAGGTATAACAGAAGGAATGATGAAATTCAGATGATACTTTTGATCAGTACGTTCCGATTTTAGATGAATCTATTGGGTGAAACTTTCGTTCCAAATAAAACAAACTGGCAATGAGCATCAAAGTTCTAAAGGTATTTCCTTCAAATTCCTTAAGAAAAATAAAGTAGGTCCATCGTTGTGTTTCTGAAAAGTAGTGATGGATCTATGAAAAGATCCATTTACAGAAAATGAACATGGAACGGTCAGTAAATCAACTTCTATAGCTGGGCTACAATAGAAAGATGAATGTTATTCACTCCTTTACGGAATACCTAAAATCTGTCGAGCTGAATGCGTTGATGAAGAACTTGACTGCCTCAGAGAAACGTTGACTGAAAATATAGATACAAGAACATATTTTAATGGAATTATATAAGGGTGAGTAAAGTGGTTAGGAGTTCTCCCCCTAAATATTTAATCGAGTTTAACCACTCAGTTATTCAACAAGTCTATTTGGAATCTGCTCAAGGAATCCATATAAATCTACTAAGATTTCTTCTTATTCAACTTCTTAAAACAGTAGAAGTCCTTGACGTCTATGAAAGGAAGTCTGAGCTTTGTATACAAGTGTCTTATGCCTGGCTAAAACCAATTATTTATAATGTTTTGTTTTGGTTTCACTGGTTTTTGATTTGAAAATGTACCATCCCCAATTATTCCTCACATCTCTAAATATTTACTTATAATCGATTCTGACATAATTTTATTTAATTCCTCTAATACTTTTAGTTACTGTAACAAAAAAATTTAATTATTTCATTCTTTCAAACCATGATTCACTGTTAGCTTACTAATTTTACACGCTTACATACAGAAGTTACACAACCTTTTATTGTCATTATTTACACCATATAAACTGATATTAAAATCTCTTGACCACATCATATTTATTCATTACTTATATTTCTTTACAGAATAAGTCCTTAAAACTCTCTCTCTCTCTCTCTCTCTCTCTCTCTCTCTCTATATATATATATATATATATATATATATATATATATATATATAATCACTGAAAAAGCTCATTCGCTGAATTTCGCTTTTGTTATCAAGGTGTGACTAAAAACAATTTTAAACATTAGACTGTAAGATTACACAAACTAACTACTCGTGACAAATAAACGAACGATAGATGATCAGGAACTTACTATAATCTTTTTCACGGAAACATCGGAATCGAAGGTTGCTGATATATTCTTCTTCTACTTGATTTTCTAAATGAATAATATTGCCAGAAAAGTCTTGTTCGAATGTTTTCTTGACGAAATAAGGTACTTTATGTGTCCCAGTATGACGTTCCATGTAGTATTTGCTAGAATAATTACAGCGAACATAAGTAAATTTATTTATCAACGTCCAAAATATAATTTTAAAATACTTGTACTAAGTCTTTGGTAGTGTGCCTTTGATTTAATACGACAGCTGACAGTCTTGCAATATGCGATTATACTGTTTTAAGTGTTTCAGAAACTAAAGGCGTTACTAAGCCTAAATAACTCTATTTCAACACCCACCTAAATATACAAAATCACAATAGTCATCAAACTCAACGTTTGACAACTTTGGGGATGATTCCAGATATTACCAGATACTACAAATTCGCTATCCATCTGTCGCTTCAAAAGGCTTGTTCTACGTGCGCTCATCCGAGGACCCTATAGCATCGTCGTCTGGCCTTGGTGTCGCACTAAGCACTAGAGCTGAGGCAGCACTAATCGATTGGATCCTCAATAACAATCGGTTATGTGGCGTTAGATTAGAAAGCTTCGTCGAAATGCGAAGAAATCGGTGTGAGAAACGATGCCTTTTGGTCATCTCCGCCTATGCTCCGACGGATTGCGGTCTGGATGCAATTAAGGATGAATTTTACCACCAGTTGACCGTTTTTCTCCAGAAAGTGCGTTTGACAGACATTGTAGTACTAGCCGAAGACTTGAATGTTCAGGTCAGGCGAATAGGCACAGAAGAGAATCGTTTAGTTAACTGATGAGGACTTGTTTGTTGGAGGTCAGATAACGGGGAACGTCTACTGCACAGACCACAACCAGCTTCAGTTTAGCACTAACTTCTTGCACTGTCATTGCCGAAGTGCAACCTGGCATCCTCCCCATGCATTTCAAGCTTGAACTCAGAATGATCACATCGCGATCAGCTACCGCTGGCGTGGTTGTGTACAGATTGCCGCTATTTTCGGAGTACCTATCTGGATTATGATCATTCCTTTGTTTGTACCAATCTTACCTTACTTTTCAGTGGCCAACGAATTCATCGTCATAAACGGACTGATGTCAGTAAATTGATTGTATATTCTGTTGCAACGGGTGACCGTGAATTTGGTCACAAACGAAGGATGTTACGTAATGAAACTGGACTAAGCTGGCGTAAGGACTGAGAAGCCTGTTGATTAGTGTTCAAACATCATGGAATGAGTCGATAGTTGTCCTTATCTTTAAAAAGAGTTCACGTCGTTTCTGTAACAACTATCGGAGGATTCGTGAACTTTCGATTGCGTCGAAACTATTGGATTCTGTCATACTTCGTAGGTTGTTTGAAAACCGAGAAAGATTGTCTCACGATAGGCAGTCTGGTTTTTGTTCTGATCGACGATGCATTGATCATATCTTCACCCTCCGCTAAATGTTAGAACAATGTCATACTTATCACAGACCAACAATCGTAATGTTTCTTGACATCAGGACTGCCTTCGATTCGTTGGACAGAACTGTTCTCTGGGATTGTCTATTGAAGAAGGGTGTATCTGAGAAGTTTATTGACATCTAGAAAGCTCTATGTACATACACCTCAGGCAGAGTGAGGGCATACAACTACCTTTCTCCATTGTTCCACCCAAGCAGTGGGGTTAGACAGGGTTGCCCAATCTCACCATTTCTCCACACTTAATCAGTGTTCGTAGGTATGGTATGTGCTTCGCACCTTCTAAGTGAAAAGCACTTCTACAAAACTGGCAGGACCCTGATCCTGTACTCAACCTGGGTAGTGAGCAGATAGAAGTAGTCGAGAAGCTCGTCTATCTAGGTAGATGCATAAGTGCTGGTGGTGGCGTGAGTGATGAGACCAATTCACGTACAGTGAAGACCAGAACGGCTTATGCCAATTTGGGCCATCTTTGAGGCCTTCATGATATAAGTCTAGTTGTAAAAGGTGCGATCTACAAAGCGTCGATGAGAGCAGTTTTGCTCTATGCTTATGCTTGCGAAAACTGGCCTATCCGAGTGGAGGATGTTGAACGACTCTGTGTTTGATCATCGTTTTCTCCGAAGTATTGCTGACGGCCAGTGGCAACACCATGTTAGTAATGCAGACGTTTGTCATAGTGTGTTCGGACACAGAGACAACAATACAATTGGTGTCGTCATCTTGAAACATCGACTTCGGTGGCTTGGACATGTTCTACGAATGTCGTCCCAGAGGATTCCACATCGTGCATTATTTGCCGACGCTGGGACTGGTTGGAGAAAGCGGAGAGGTGGTCAGTGTATGACATGGCGTCGTAGTATGAAAGAAAGCTGCAAAGGGCTCGCTTGCGTTAATCCTTCAGGACTCCCTGGCTGGGGTCCTAGAGATGGTGCAACACAGTGGCTAGAGACATTATCAGTTATGGCTCGGTATTGAAGCCAGTGGGGATCGTGCTGTACTCTTTTACTTTCTACATAAAAACTGACCGTAACTTTTTTAACTGAAAGAATTGTTTCTGGTTGTACGTTTCTGTTTTCTCCATTATTATTATTATTTCACTAACATACACTAGTTCGTGGTCGTTATTCTTTTTTTCTTTTTAAACTCAGCTTACATTATTTATCTCTTACCATTTTCATTATAATTGTGTGGCGCATATGTATCTGGTGCCCCCTTGTATAAATATTTATGTGTTCAAATAAAATAAATAATAAAACAGTTCAAGTTGCCATACCATATTACCACAGAGATACAATGCTGAGACTGACAAAGAAAGACGGAAAGATGGTAAGTTTATGATAGTATTACAGTAATATGAAAGAGAACAGTAAAGAACTGGAACGGGCGCTTTTCGAACGGAAAGTTTAGTCCTAGCGTGGTTTGCATTTCTCACACTTTTGCTGTGTTCTTGAGCAACAAAAGTACCATTTCTGATCTAAAGAATCTTTTCTGAGCTATACGTTCCGCAGATTACTTTTTTCGAGTTTCGCCCAGTTTAATAGTTAACTATGGTTTCGCCTCAGCTTAATATTCGTTTTTTTCCAGTTTTTCACGTTAAGGTTAGTTCAATTTATCTCATCCGTTTTCATCCATTTTTCCCGTTTTTTAGTGTGCTTTTTAGTGCATTTTTAACGGTCTTAGGCTTTTGATAGCATCTATAATACAGTTTACGTCAATACGTCATGAAACGACCTGGATGCCGTTTTGCTGTTATATCTGACATGCATTGCGACAACTGCAAAGTTTGGTTCCATGAAGCATGCACACGCCTCACAGCAACTGCTAAAAACAGACTCAGCAAGTAGGATCATAAGTTTCATTTTGTCTAAGAAGTCACTGTCGTTAATATAATATCATAGCAAAGATTAACTTACGAGTAACTTCTGAGAAAAATCCGCCTCGAGCCCCCCCGGGGGCTACTGCCGGTCCCAAGCCCGGATAAAGGAGGAGGGTTGGGCATGGGGTTAGCGACCCCATCCCGTAGAAAACTAACTCGCTAAAAAACGCCAACCAGAAAAAATTATTCAAACCATTTAAACTATGCCCTGGGAGTCAGGAGGTCTTCGTTTAGAAGAATTATGACGCCTCATGATGAAAGCCGAGTTTCTTCGGAAGTCACGAGGTCGATGCCCCTTCTGACATCAGAGCAACCATTTATTTAGGTACATGGAATGCTTACACAATGTGGGAGACTGGGAGTTTTCCAAATTGCTGCAGAAATGAGGAGATACAATTTGGAGGTGCTTGGGATCAGTGAAACACATTGGACGCAAGTTGGACAACAACGACTAGCTTCAGAGGAGCTGCTGTTATACTCCGGACATGAAGAAGAAAATGCCCCACATACACAAGGAGTACCATTGATGCTGTCCAAACAAGCACAAAATGCACTTATAGGATGGGAATCTCATGGACCAAGGATCATCAAAGCCTCCTTCAAAACAAAGAAAACGGGCATTACAATGAACGTCATCCAATGCTACGCGCCTACCAATGACTACAATGAAGACGCTAAAGATCAATTCTACGATAGGCTGCAGTCAATCGTCGAGAAGTGCCCAACAAAAGACCTGACTATTCTGATGGAAGACCTAAATGCCAAGGTTGGGATTGACAACACCGGATATGAAGAGATCATTGGACGACACGGACTGGGAGAAAGGAACGAAAATGGTAAGAGATTTACAAACCTATGTGCCTTCAATAAACTGGTCATAGGCGGGACTATATTCCCACATAAACGCATACACAAAACCACATGGACTTCACCGGATCACACTACGCAAAACCAAATCGATCATATCTGTATTAACAAAAAGTTCAGGAGGAAGATGGAGGATGTGAGAACAAAGAGAGAAGCCGATATAGCATCAGATCATCACTTGCTGGTCGCCAAGATGAAATTGAAACTTAAGAAGCACTGGACAACGGGGCGGACAATATCACAAAAATTTAATACGGCTCTTCTTCGGGATAATCACAAACTTAAAGAATTCAAGATAACCCTCAACAATAAGTTCCAAGCCTTTCATGATCTACTCAATGAAGAAAAAACTACTATGGAGAGCGACTGGAAAGAGATAAAAGAGGCAATCACTTCAACATGTCATGAGGTTCTGAGCCACAAGAAACACCACCACAAGGATTGGATCACTGTTGATACACTGGATAAGATTCAAGAAAGGAGGAACAAGAAGACAGCAATCAATATCAGCCGTACAAGAGCAGAAAAAGCCAAGGCACAAGCTCAATACGCAGAAGTAAACAAGCAAGTGAAGAGGAGCATCAGAACCGACAAACGTAAATATGTGGAAGATTTAGCAGTGACGGCGGAAAAGGCTGCCAGAGAGGGAAACATGAGACAACTGTATGACACAACAAAGAAACTCTCTAGAAATCACCGCAAACCAGAACGACCAATGAAAAGCAAGGAAGGCAAGATAATCACCAACATTGAAGAACAACGGAACAGGTGGGTAGAACACTTCAAAGAACTCTTGAATCGACCAGCCCCACTAAACCCACCCAACATAGACGGAGCACCCACGAACCTACCAATCGATGTTGGCCCACCAACAATTGAAGAAATCAGCATGGCCATCAGACAAATCAAGAGTGGCAAAGCAGCAGGACCAGACAACATTCCAGCAGAGGCACTGAAAGTAGACGTAGCAATAAACGCAAAGATACTCCACATTCTCTTCAGAAAGATTTGGGATGAGGGACAGGTACCAAAAGACTGGAAAGAAGGACTTCTAGTCAAAATACCAAAGAAAGGCGATCTCAGCAACTGTGACAACTACAGGGGAATCACTCTTCCTTCAATACTAGGAAAAGTCTTCAACAGGGTATTGTTAAACAGGATGAAGGACTCCGTAGATGCACAACTTTGCGACCAACGGACAGGATTCCGTAAGGATAGATCGTGCACAGACCAAATAGCAACTCTATGGATCATTGTGGAACAATCAATTGAATGGAATTCATCACTCTATATCAACTTCATTGGCTACGAAAAAGCATTTGACAACGTGGACAGAACAACCCTATGGAAGCTTCTTCGACACTACGGTGTGCCTGAGAAGATAGTCAATATCATACGGAATTCCTATGATGGATTAAACTGCAAAATCGTGCATGGAGGACAGTTGACAAACTCCTTAGAGGTAAAGACCGGTGTCAGGCAAGGTTGCTTACTCTCACCCTTTCTCTTTCTCCTGGTGATCAACTGGATCATGAAGATGTCAACATATGAAGGGAAACACACGATACAGTGGACAGCTAGCATGCAGTTGGATGATCTGGCTCTTCTATCACAAGCACAACAACAAATGCAGGAGAAGACAACCAGTGTAGCAGCAGCCTCAGCAGCAATAGGTCTCAATATACACAAAGGGAAAAGCAAGATTCTCCGATACAACACAGCATGCAACAATCCAATCACAATTGACGGAGGTTTGGAAGACGTAAATACCTTTACATATTTGGGCAGCATCATCGATGAACACGGTGGATCTGATGCAGATGCGAAAGCGCGGATCGGCAAAGCAAGAGCAGCATATTTACAACTGAAGAATATCTGGAACTCAAAACAATTAGCAACCAACACCAAAAGTCAGAATTTTCAATGCAAATGTCGAGACAGTTCTAGTGTATGGGGTCGAAACCTGGAAAACCACGAAATCCGTCATCCAGAAGATTTTTGTTCATTTATTTATTTTAACACATAGGTATTGGTACAAAGAGGCACCATATACATATGCGCCACACAAATCTCAATTGATTTGTGTGAGGACTGTGATACTGCCCGGGTGCCCGAACCGAAGCAGGTGGTTTTCTTAGGGGGCCACACCCCGAGCCTTTGACCTGAACGTCTGATCCACAAGGCGGTGGGGCATCGTGAGGAGATGCAGTCCCATGGAAGCCGGTGACCAAGATACAGGTGTTTATTAACAGTTGTCTACACAAAATACTTCGAATCCGTTGGCCAGACACTATTAGCAACAACCTACTGTGGGAGAGAACAAATCAGATCCCAGTGGAGGAAGAAATCAGGAAGAAACGCTGGAAGTGGATAGGACACACATTGAGGAAAGCACCGAACTGCGTCACAAGACAAGCCCTCATATGGAATCCTCAAGGCCGAAGGAGGAGAGGGAGACCAAATAACACATTACGCCGGGAAATGGAGCTAGACAAGAGAAAAATGAACAAGAATTGGATGGAACTAGAAAAGAAGGCCCAGGACAGTGGGTTGGAGAATGCTGGTCGGCGGCCTATGCTCCATTGGGAGTAACAGGCGTAAGTAAGGTTCAAACTCCTCCTCACCTACTTTATTTAGGCTAGCCCCAAGCCCTCAAACCTAGAGTAGCTTACTACCAAGAAAGCGAGACCGCATACGGCGAATGAGTCCACTATGTATCAAACACTTCAGTTTTACACTAAAACGACGTTTTCAATCATATGTCGGGAATGGTATTGTTCCTCTACAAATTACAGCAATATGTGCCATGAATTAACCATCAATGATCACACTTACTTCGTTTTGGTTAGGCTGAAGTACGGATCCTTTACAAAAAGATTACTGAAGAAAGACAGGCCAAACAAAATTATCAGCGGAATCAACTGGACGTATACGAAGTAGTTACTCTGAAAAAAGGGCCAATAAGAATGTTGATGTACTAATCATAAAACCTCCTGAACACAAAATGCAAAAAAAAACATTGCACTAACATCTTACACGTTCATTTTTTTTTCAAAAATAGCCGAAATTATACAGAAAAAAAAGGTTATTATAGAAAACACGAGCATAAAGATAAACTCAAACGGATACAAATAACAAAAAAAATTAGCAGAGTAGCTGTGTCAATCCCCGAATGCCCTGGTACGGCCGAGAGTGGGGAGAGTCCGCTCTCCCTCTCAAAATGCTCTCACATGGCCACGCGTATATAGCCTCTGCCAGGGGGAAGTCCTACTCACTGCCTTCTTGTGGCGGGGGTGTTGTCTACGGAAATGAGAGGACGAAAAGCAAATGTCTGGCGCTTTAACCGGATCCCAAACCAATGGTGCACATGGGCTCCAGTATCCTGAAGGAACAAATGGCGTATGAACCAACTTTTGGTCACCGGCTTCCATGGGACTGCATCTCCTCACGATGCTCCACTGCCTTGTGGACTAGACCTTTAGGTCAAAGGCTCGGGGTGTGGCCCCCTAAGAAAACCACCTGCTTCGGTTTGGGCACCCGGGCAGTATCTCAGCCCACACACCAAAACATGATGAAATATTCGCTTACGGAAAATATTCGTTCTTCTCTGACTAACATTGAAATGACTGATACTATTATTATTATTATTGTTATTATTATTATTATTATTATTATTTACTACGTCATTTACTCACTATCTCCTATTTCTACTTTTTGTATCCGTTTCGACTCAGACAGCAGCTCGCCTATGGTAAAAATTCAGCTTTATCTAAACGTTCTCGAGTCACTGCCTGGTTTGAAAATTGTATGTTACCATCGAATACGAGTACTGAAGCAGTCTTTCTGAAACCACGCGCACCATTCAAACTGGCTGCCTTTAACGTTCGCACACTTATGCAGGTCGGACAACAGATAGGGCTGGCAATGTCTTTGGAAAGTCTTAATATTGATGTGTGTTGTCTATCCGAGACCCGTATTCAAGACTCTGGTGAAGTACTACAAGTTCGCTCTCCATCTGTCGCTCCAAAAAGCTTGTTTTACGTGCGTTTATCCGGGGACCCTGTGGCATCTTCGTCTGGTCTTGCTGGCGTTGGTGTCGCACTAAGCGCAAGAGCTGAGGCAGCACTAGTCGACTGGATCCCCATTAACAGTCGGTTATGTGCTGTTAGATTAGAAAGTTCCATCAAAGTGAGAAGAAATCGGCGTGAGAAACGATGTCTTTTCGTCATCTCCGCCTATGCCCCGACAGATTGCAGCCCGGATGCAATCAAGGATGAGTTCTACCACCAGTTAACTGTTCTTCTACAGAAAGTGCGTTCGACAGATATTGTAGTACTAGCTGGAGACTTGAATGCTCAGGTCGGGCGTCTAGGCACAGAAGAGAGTCGTTTAGGTGGCCGATGGGGACTCGTTGGTCGCAGGACAGATAACGGGGAACGTCTACTGCAACTATGCACAGACCACAACCTGTTTCTGGCTAGCACTAACTTTCGGCACAGTCATCGCCGATGTGCCACCTGGCGTCCCCCTTCTGCATCTCAAGCCTGGACTCAGATTGATCACATCGCGATCAGCTACCGCTGGCGCGGTTGTGTACAAGACTGCCGCTCCTTTTGGAGTACCTATCTGGAATCTGATCATGCTCTGGTCTGCGCCAATCTTACCTTACTTTTCAGTGGACAACGAAGTGACCGCCACCAAAGGATTGATGTTAGCAAGCTGGCTGCAACTTCTGTTGCTAGTAAGTACCGAGCCGAGCTAGCTTCTAGGCTAGCCACTATTCCACCGAAAAGTATAGATGAGCATTGGTTGCAATTGCATGACGCCATGAAAATGGCGGGTCAAGTCAGCTGTGGGATTGCGAAACGTCCCGCTTACAAGCACTGGGTTTCTTCTGGTTCCTTACAACTGATTGAAGCCCGTCGGTCTACTCCGGGTGACCGTGAGTTTGACCACAGACGAAGGTTGTTACGTAATGAAATCGGGCAAAGCTTGCGTAAGGACCGAGAAGCCTGGTGGTCGGAGCGTGCCAGTGAGTTGGAAGCAGCAGCTGCATCTGGTAATTACCGGAAGCTCTTCCAACTCATCCGAGCCACCGGCAGCAAGAAGTCTGGTGTGAGCGAAACAATCTGCGAGGATGACGGAACGCCAATCACTAACATCCATCGACGTCTTGGACGATGGGCAGAATTCTTTGAAGGGCAGTTCAACTGGCCTGCTGCTCCGGCAACATCGGTCAGACTGTCCTGCCCTCCATGGCCGGTGACGACTGATCCACCAAATGAGGCGGAAGTCCGCAAGGAACTCCAACTCTTGAAACGTTACAAATCACCAGGCCCAGACGACTTACCTCCGGCTCTTTTTAAAGATGGTGGTGACTTTCTGACTAAAGGACTGACGACGTTGTTTACAAAGATCTGGGAACTAGAGAGTGTACCAACGTCATGGAATGAGTCGATAGTTGTCCCTATCTTTAAAAAGGGTTCACGTTGTTCCTGTAACAACTATCGGGGGATAAGTCTACTTCCGATTGCGTCCAAGCTATTGGCTTCCGTCATACTTCGTAGGTTGTTCAGAACCCGAGAAGGATTGACTCGCGAGGAGCAGGCTGGGTTTCGTTCTGGTCGAGGATGTATTGATCATATCTTCACCCTCCGCCAAGTGTTAGAACACCGCCATACTTATCAAAGGCCAACAATCGTAGTGTTTCTTGATATCAAGGCTGCTTTCGATTCGTTGGACAGAACTGTTCTCTGAAATTGTCTATTGAAGAGGGGTGTGCTTGAGAAGTTTATTAACATCCTAAAAGCCTTATATACAAACACCTCAGGTAGAGTGAGGGCATACAACCACCTTTCTCCACTATTCCATTCAAGCAGTGGAGTTAGGCAGGGTTGCCCAATCTCACCATTCCTCTTCAACTTTGCCATCGATGACATTCTGGAAACAGCACTGATGGATGTAAGTAATGGTGGTGTGGATCTGTTGCCTGGAGAAAGACTTCTCGACCTTGAGTATGCGGATGATATTGTCTTACTGTGCGAGAATGCCCAAGCCATGCAATCCGCACTTAATCAGTTGGCAATCAGTGTCCGTAGGTATGGTATGTGCTTTGCACCCTCGAAGTGCAAAGTTCTTCTACAAGACTGGCAGGATTCTAATCCTGTACTCACTCTGGATGGTGAGCAGATAGAAGTAGTCGAGAAGTTCGTGTATCTAGGTAGCTGCATAAGTGCTGGTGGTGGCGTGAGTGATGAGATCAATGCACGTATAGTGAAAGCCAGAGCGGCTTATGCCAATCTGGGCCATCTTTGGCGCCTTCGTGATGTTAGTCTGGCTGTAAAAGGTCGGATCTACAACGCGACGGTGAGAGCAGTTTTGCTCTATGCTTGTGAAACTTGGCCTCTCCGAGCTGAGGATGTTAGACGACTCTCTGTGTTCGATCATCGTTGCCTCCGAAGGATTGCTGGCATCCAGTGGCAACACCATGTCAGTAATGCAGAGGTTCGGCATCGAGTGTTCGGTCACAGAGACGATAATGAAATTGGTGTCACCATCTTGAAACATCGACTTCGGTGGCTTGGACATGTTCTACGAATGTCGTCCCAGAGAATTCCTCGTCGTGCATTATTTGCCGACTCTGGGACTGGTTGGAAAAAGCGGAGAGGTGGTCAGTATATGACATGGTGTCGTGGTATGAAAGAAAGCTGCAAAGGGCTAGCTTATGTTGGTCCTTCACGACTCCCTGGTTGGGGTCCGAGAGATGATGTAACGCAGTGGCTAGAGACGTTATCAGATATGGCTCAGAATAGAAGCCAGTGGCGATCCTGCTGTAACCTTCTTTTACTTTCTTCATAAAAAGGTGATCGTATTCTTCCTTAACTGAAAGATCTGTTCTGATTGTACCTTTCCGTTTCCCCCACCATTGTTCTCTCTCTCTCTCTCTTCTTTTTTTTATAATTCCCCACGTTCATTACTTTCTTTTTTCTTCTCTTTTCTCCTTCTCTTCTAATTATCACTGTTTTGTGTGGCGCATATATATTTGGTGCCCCCCTGTACCAATATTTATGTGTTCAAATAAATAAATAATAAATACCTATATGTTAAAATAAATAAATAATTTCGAGGACTCGGTTTCTATTACTGCACGAGACCAGTTTACTGATATCGAAATGTGTGACAGGTTGACAATGGAATGTTTTAAAGCATACAAAAAATTGCACTTTATGAGAGTTGAAACCAGGTTATACGACCCTTTTTTGAGATAAAGACGCATATCTGAACTGAAAGCAGTTGAACAAGTACAGTACCGAGTTACCCAAATGCCCTGGTATGGCCGAGAGCGGGGAGGGTTCGCCCTCCCTCTCGAAATACTCCCACACGGCCACGCGTATACAGCCTCTGCCAGGGAAGTCCTACTCACTGCCTTCTCGTGGCATTACTGTTGTTTACGAAAATGAGAGGACGAAAAGCGAACGTCTAGCGCTATAACCGGATCCCAATTCTATGGTGCACATGGGCTCCAGTATCCTGAAGGAACAAATGGCGTATGAACCAACTTTTGGTCACCGGCTTCCATGGGACTGCATCTCCTCACGATGCTCCACTGCCTTGTGGACTAGACCTTTAGGTCAAAGGTTCGGGGTGTGGCCCCCTAAGAAAACCACCTGCTTCGGTCTGGGCGCCCGGGCAGTATCTCAGTCCACACACTAAAACTATGATGAACTATCTGCTTATAGAAAATATTCGTTTCTCTCCGACTAACATTGAAATGACTGGTATTATTATTATTATTACTATTATTTACTACGTCATTTACTCACTATCTCCTATTTCTACTTTTTGTATCCGTTTCGACTCAGACAGCAGCTCGCCTATGGTGAAAATTCAGCTTTATCTAAACGTTCTCGAGTGTGGCGCATATATATTTGGTGCCCCCTTGTACCAATATTTATGTGTTCAAATAAATAAATAAATAAAGCAAACCTATAAAATTGTTGTTTCTCCTCATGTATTTTAATTGTCTACTTATCCAGAAAGAATATTGACATGCATTTGAAAATTCTAAACTTTACCGGTAATAACATATGATTATCAAGCGATTCATGACTAGACAATATAAGATGTCTACTAACTTCATAGTGGTCAACTCAAAAGCAGATCAACACAAGCAACAACTGGAAACATATATAATGAGCCTCTAATATTAGAACGGATTCGAATTCGAATATACTGAATGAGATGATACAAGCTATATCATTGTCAGTAACAAAGATCGAAAGATGGTATGAAACAGTATGTGCTGCCTGACAGGCCTATTCAAACGAGTGTCCACAACCCCTTACGTTGGTAGCTCTAAATAAACGCTTTAAACTTAGTACACATTTAAGGACTAGTTACTTTTAGAGAGAACAACCTAAGCTAAGACGTAACATTAATTATCCACATCACTTTACTACAACATCCATTATTGGCCTTCAGTCAACTACCCAGCTATTTATTCCCTATCTTATGTCGATTCATATAGCATTTTTACCTTTCGTTTAGCACCAACTTGATTACTCATTCTATACATTTAGCCAGTCTATAGTTGACTGTACCGAAATAAATAAATGGTAACGATTAGTAATCAAGATATGGTACCACTGACTTACTTCACGTTCTGATTCTCGTGACCTATGAGGTCGGTGGCGATGATCACGATAGACTTGTGAGAACGGAAATCCCCCGTTGAAAAACATGGTGAAGACATCAGCTTAAATTATCAGTTTAGTCAAAATAAAACATTACCATCATATTGGAAGAACGTGTCCCCGTGCCGATGAACTTGAGGAGACCTTATTTGCTCTTCCTCCGCACCATATTGATCATAATGCTGACGTTTTTCCGGATCTGTCAACACTTCGTATGCCTTCTTGATCTTTTTAAACGCTTCTGCTGCACCCGGGGCTCTGTTTTTGTCAGGATGAAACTTGAGGGCATGACTTAAAAAAATAGAGTCGAAAACTATCTTACAGTTTAAAAGCCTTCTTAATTTCTTCGTCTGATGCAGTTCGCGACACTCCAAGAATTTCGTAGTAATTTTTGCAAGCAAGTACTTTCCTCAAGGAATCTATTTGGGTCTTCGTAAACTCCTTATCCGGTTGCTTATTTCTGGTAGATTCGGCGCTAGAATCAGCATCTCTATTTTCTTGGGAACCTTCTCTTGTGCTAGACGAACGAGACCTAGGTCTTACTAAAAACTCCAGTCCTTGAAATCTAGTGGCATATTGAAAAACACTAACCTTCTATGTTGATTGACGGATCCAATTTCATGGCTTTTAGGAGAAACTTTTTTGCGGCATCACGATCCCCTGTGACTAAACGTTTTCTAGCAATAAACACACATTTCTGTGCTTCATCCTTGTTGGCATTCATCCCAAACTAATGACAAGTATTTGACAAAAACCCTAAATGGCGCTTCGAATGAGTGTTTTAAACAACCGTCCGACGTCACCCAAGTCCAATGGATTCAGCTTGCTTTTTACTTCTTAAAGACAAAATTAGATCATTTATAACCACTTCAAGTGAAGAAAGTATTTTATGTCACTAAAATAGTTATAACATATTATGCTATTAGATTTCGTGTTGTCTTATCGCACAAAAATAATCAGAAAAACAATACGTAAAACATTTTGATGGAGTTTTGTTCTCTGAGCTGGATGGTTTGGTCGTGGAGCTTTCATCGTTCTTCTGAACGACATCATCAGCACAAACTTCAGATAGAAGTGAAGTGTTCGAATTTCTCCATATGCGTTTCACAGCTTGTTCTGTGCACCTCGATGTTGATTGGTGCACAGAACAAGCTGTGAAACGCATATGGAGAAATTCGAACACTTCACTTCTATCTGAAGTTTGTGCTGATGATGTCGTTCAGAAGAACGATGAAAGCTCCACGACCAAACCATCCAGCTCAGAGAACAAAACTCCATCAAAATCATCCACCTGAGCTACAAATCTTCTCCACCATCTCAATACGTAAAACAATATGGATCACGCCATACTGAATAATATATCTATATTATCAGGTCAGATTTGTTGATGTAGTGAAATTTCACCGAGCTCAAGCCAAATCATCCATCAGGTTTATCCTCTTTTACATTAGACGACAGATCATCGATCTTTAATAGGCTTATTCGATGTCATCACTGTCAAGGATAATTAGTGAGGGTGGTTCAACCGCACATCATGCACTAGCCGGTGCTGCAGCGGTCGCAATGTTTCCTGAAAACCATTCTTCTTAACTCATCCGTTCAGTATAGCCGTGTTTGTTTTATACGGTCATCTAATCCGACACAATACCTAGGTACCACGTTAGGTAGTATTCTCCGGGTGTGACTTCGATGAGTAGGCAAGCCTTTCCGATAAAGGTACGCCCTATCAATAATATTCGCTTCATCTTTTACGTCAACTTACTCAGTAAGTCACCCTCTATAATTCTGTTTTATTTTGTCTCTGCCTGTTTTATTTCAGAGTGACGAGATCAATGATCAGACGGAAAATGCGAATGACTCAAAACTTAAAATCAGTTTAAATCAGGAATTTCCCGTGCTTTTAAGTTTCATTTGTGTCGTTCGTTCAGTCAAAGCAACATATCTACCTTGAACAAGTTTGGAAATACGCTGGATCAATTTACAACGCTATGCAAATCCAAAAATTCACTGAATAATATCTCGCACTTGGTCTGTCATTTTCTTGGATCTGTGTCTTATTTAACAGTTAGCTACTCCAAACGTTCCATACTCACTTTCACATAATTTAATCACATATTCAATCAATCTCACTTATGTTCTGATCAAAGGTCTGCATGGATATGACTTTTACATTATTATTCTATGAAGTGCAGTCCATATACAAAAGCCATTTCAATTTTCGTCATAGCTAGAAAAAATAGTATTAAGGCAGTGGGATATTATCTTGGTGTTAGAAGGTGAAGCATCCGCAAAACGTTTTACAAAATGACCAAAACATCTAAAACTTTTAAACCTTAGTCACACATCTAGATATCATGTTCCCTGATATATGCTAAACCAGACCAGCAAGAATATGTAAAATTAAGCTTCGCTTCGTCATTGGTACAATTATAATAATAGACCTAACCCTGTAATTGCAGATACGTCATGATGTGACTGTCTAATCTACAAGATCTTACGTGGAAGCCATATCATTGCCTACTCTGACTCATCGTATCGTATCAATTAACAGTATGATGTCTGGAGTTTATAAAAAACACATTTAGGCTAAAGAAAAAGTAATATATTTAATGTGAGTAAACACAAGCTGTATAGAATGGCTACATCTGCGAAGCTGAGCGTGCCATCCGGTCTATTGAATTGAATCAATACTTCCCGCTTTCTCCACTGCTTGTCTTTTCTCTAAGTTAAATGTTGAACATCTATTTTCCCGGTTATCTCATGTTCAGCTTTGAGGATTGTGTTGTTGAAGCCCACTGTCACTACAAATACCCAGCGAATGTATGGAGAAATTTATTCCTATTATTGTTGTTGATATAGTTGTAATTGATATCGTTTCATTGTTATACTAATGAATAAACTTGCAGTGCCATTGCCCGTTCATTAGTTCTGGTTTGGAAATTAGGATGAGTTAATTACATAGTATTTCATTCGCTGTAAGTACGTCAATATTCCAACCGCAACAACATATGTCATGCTAATTCATTTTTCAAATTGTCTATGATATGAGTTTGGCAAATGTCTGAACAGTCTTTAGAACTTTTACTAACCCACTATCATCTTCCCCTTTAAATATATATGCATTTGAGAATCCGTTCATCAGTAGCATTCAACTGGGTTAACGTTTCACACAAATGTCGGGACATACAACAACAATGCTATTTCGGAATGATAACGCCGCATATATATGGACTAGTAATATTGTCTAACTTTAGTATTATAATTTGCATATTTTACCCAAAACAAGCTATAAAATGCCGAGATAAATTTAGCAATACGTACGTTATCTTATTCTCTTGATTGCTCATTATTAAATCATGCAGCTAATTATAAGATGCTGGTCAAGTGCATTGTTGGGGATGATAGATCCCCCAAAACTCATAGTTTGTAATTTTATCTTGTGGAGCTTGTATGCAGATGTATATGTGGGCATTTCTTATCACCCACGCACACAGTTGATTGACTAATTTTTATCGATTACATGTTTAAAAGCTCCATAGCAACATCGGTACATATATATATATATATATATTTGTATATATACGTTTTAAAATTGTCATGTTAAAAGGTTTTCTGGTTTTCTGGTTGTTGCAGAATATACCCTCAATTCAAGCCTGGTCTCCTCTCTCTAGATAGCGGTTCTGGAACGCGTCAATAATTAGCTTACTGGTCGTTGGTCACTGAATCTCGTTCTCGTTCGCAAATCTAAGTGAACTCGTTAAGCTTCAACCCTAACATGCATAAAGAAATCCCTGATATTCTGATCTTGAGAGCACCTTTACTGTAATATCTATGTAATCGAGCATCCCAAAGCTCGTCAAAGCAGAAATCAGGAATGAAGAAGCTTTAGAAGTGTTTGATCTTTGCTGATGTAATAAGAGATTAACAGCACAGTGCAGTTAATTGTGACCGTATATGGATTTCAATGTGGTGATTTCAACCTTCCAAGCATTGACTGGGAGGCACCTTCTGTCCAATTGTGCTAAGAAAGCATGCTTAGGTCATTAGACATAAACGGTTGGCAGCAACATGTACACCTGCCTACAAGAAATCACATTTTTGACTTGATATTCTATCACAATGTCCCACCAACATCAATTATGGTTGAAGAAAATTTTCACAACAGCGGTCATAAAATGGTCCTCTGCATCCTTCCGATTTTCGCCAAGTGCAACAATTTAAAGATATTAAATACGCCTTTGCAATATAGAGAGTATGCAAATGCTGACTGGGAAAACTTTCGATTTCTAACAACTCATTCTGATTGGAGCAGTTTCTTTACCAGTTCTAACCTTTTTGAAACAATAGAAATATTCAGTACTACCACCAAATGTGCACTGGACACTATCATTCTCTCTAAAATTGCTTTTAGAACAATTACACTCAATGTCAACCAAAAGACTAAGTCTAAGCTGCGAGGACTAAAAAGGACGTACTATATATCAAAGGACTTCAATGACCTGCAACAGATATACTCCATACTTGAAGTAGTGAAAAGTTAACACAACAAACATAAACGGGCAGAAGAACGTGCTGCACTCACTGCTGCATCTAAAGCTCAAAATTTATGTCATTTCCTTCGAAAACACATAAGACTGAACGCAGATTACAACATTCATTACAACCCCAGGACCGGACATACATACACTATCACTCAAAATATAGACATTATCTTTAAAGACAGGTACATATCCCCAAACCTGGGGGTACATTACTCACACAGTTTTAACTTCTCTAAACATATCTCAGCCAAAGCATTTAAAATGCGGAAATTGCTTGGCTTCATTCTTCATAATTTCCTCCAGAATGTAGATAAAATCATTCTTTATGAAGTCTGTGTGAGACCTATCATTGAATACTGTTCTCTCTTATTTTCCAACCTACGCTTATCCGATGTACCTAAGGTGGAAGGAATATAACGTGATTTCACCCGTAAAATACTTAAGAACGACTCACTCATTGACTTCAGTTCCCGATGCCATATCTTAGCACCAGAACCCCTTTGAAATAGAAGGCTTAAGTCCAATTTGATTTTTCATTTCAAACTCCTCAAAAACCTTACTTACTCCACATGTAATATAACTCTTGCCCAAGACACACATGAATACGACTGTCGAGACAAAGTATCCACGGTCAAAGTTGAGAAATGCAGATCAAAAACTCGGGAAAACGTCTTCCTTATTAATTGTGCATTAATATGAAACAGTCTTCCATCTGAGATACACATGGTAGATGAATTGCATACGTTTGTAGGACTTATTGATTGAGCCCTCACTTGCACAGATTTAGCACAAACGAACACCTCTGCGACAAACTCAGACATTGTAGGATCCCTACATTTATGGACCAAATCGCTTTATTTTCCCACTTTGAAGTTGTATTAGATACTTCTTCCTCCCTAATTTTTTACCTCAAGTAGACAGGCAACTCACTGGACCTATCGATTTTCGGTTACGGAGAGACCCTCACTACTACCCTAAGAAGTCAAAAGAACAGCACAATCGCCTGACTACTACCAGTGGTCTTGCACCTATGGGACCTGTTATCCATCAACCGGTTAGGATAGAACAAAATAACATCAACACCAAATTAGTGTGAGATCCTTCTTGGCTATTATTTATTAGCTTTTTATTCTCCAGTACACTATGTTGACTTGCCATTAATATTATTTTCTCACTCGTTACCTTATCTATAACTCATATAGTTCTATACTTTTTCGCCTGCTTTGGTAAACAACTATCCTA